GACTCTCAATGCCTTATCTATAAAATATAGGCAAATAAGAATGTCTACTTCATAGGATTATCATGAGAATTAAATGAAATGATATATTTACATAAATAGATTATACTACATAGTAAATATATAATTTACAACTATTATTATAAACCTCACTTTCTTCCAAATTGTATCTTGAGCTTATAATTAATATCAAATGTGTCATTTTCCTGCTTAGAAATCTTCATGCTTCCCTTACAGTCTATAAAATTATATCTGAATTCCCCAGTCTGAAGCTATTCAAAATGTCTATCACCCCCTCAGTAAAACTGCTCTCATCTCTTTCTCCAGCCTATAATTCTCAATTCTCCTTTCTCATGCTCTATGCTTTAACCCAGTGGCTCCCAGCCTCTTTTTGGCCATGCCCCACCTAAGAATCTCTAAAAATCCCAATGCCTGCCCTGTGACATATAATTATTATTCAAAAAGTGAACTCATATTCAGGTGGAGGAAGCTTAAATGGCCATTAACGTGGTCTAAACAAACTTCCAAAGAATATGGCATTCATGAAAGAGAAAAATAAAAGAACAAAAGGACAGTTGAAGTACTGAGGAAGAAATCACTAAGAAATTGTTTAAAAACAATAATAATAATATGAAGTGATATGAAAAGATAGCAAATAAAGTTTCAAAACATATAATAGAGAACTGAAATGTATAAATATGTCACAATATATATTTATATACTGTATATGAGGCCCCTAGAACTGTATGCAAAAAATTCACTGTTAAAAACTCATTCTCGAATTGCCCCCCTTCAAAATCAAATTGTTCCCCTGTGGGGCATGTGCCCCATGTTGGGAACCACTGCTCTAACCCAGTTAGTGCACACATTGTTCTCCAAGCCCACCATGCACTAACAGCCTCTGTTCATTTGCCCATGCAATTCCTCTACCTAAAACGTTTCCTTCTTTCCATTTTTGCACGTTAAGATTCTCCCGATTCTTCAAAATCCTCGCTCCTTCTTGTAGCATCTCCTGCTATTTCCAACCCTATTAAATCTCTCTCATTTATAATTTGCATGGAATTTTAGTGTAGCTTTCTAACATGAAGTCCTACTTAAAACTCTAATTATCATTACTAGTTGTAACACCAAGCATGATTCTTCATCTCTATAGTCATCAATTACCTCATTAGTAATAAATATGTGTTTATAATGGAGTAATAAATATATGTTTGTTCATGTTTAAATTAAGATACTAAAGGCCTGGTGTATGACATTTGTGCACTGGGACAGGGGACGAGGGCCCTCAGCCTGGTCTGCACCCTCTCACAGGGAGTGGGCCTAAGCTGGCAGTTGGACATCCCCCAAGGTGTCCTTAGTGCTGCCACGGAGGTGGGAGAGGCTCCGCTGCACTCACCAGCCATGAACCTGGCTTCTACCTGAGCAGCACTTCCACCAGGGGGCAGCTCCTCCATTGAGTGTCCGCCCCCTGGTGGTCATGCGCATCATAGTGACCGGTCATTCCACCATTCCGTCGATTTACATATTAGCCTTTTATTATATAGGATATTTATTATATTAAGTAGAGGGCAAACATATAATCTATACTAATAAAAGGGTAATATGCTAATTAGGTCAACCAGACATCTTCTGGATGTCCAACTTCCTTCCTTTTGGACAAAGCCATGGTGGCGGGGGCCAAGGCAGAGGCAATTAGGGATGATATCAGGCCGACAGGAGAGGGCAGTTGAGGGGCAAGACCAGGCCAGCAGAGGAGGGCAGTTGGGGATGGCAGAGGAGGGCAGTTGAGAGAGACCAGGCCAGTAGGGGAGGACAGTTGGGGGTGGCTGGGCCTACAGGGGAGGGCCGTTGGGGATGACCAGTCCAGCAGGGGAGGACCATTGGGGGCGAGGCAGGCAGGCAGGTGAGCGGTTAGGAGCCAGTGGTCCTGGATTGCGAGAGGGATGTCTGCACAGGGATTAGGCCTAAATTGGCAGTTGGACATCCCCTGAGGAGTCCCAGATTGGAGAGTGTGCAGGCTGGGCTTAAGGACACCTCTCACCCCCCGCCCCCATGCATGAATTTCATGCATTGGGCCTCTAGTATATTATAATTTATTCAACATATATTTATGTAGCAAGCAAAGCTTTCCTGTTCTTATGGCTCATGCAATTTCAGTGGGGAACTAATAGTACATAGGTAGATAAATGAATAAAAAAATAACTGTAGATTGTGAAGATAATATTGTGAAGAAACCAAACAGGTGATGTGACAGACTAACTGGGAAAGGAGGGGCAGTGCCTACTTTAGGTGAAGAGGCCACTGAGACTCTCTCTGAAGAGTAACATTTAAGCTATGACTTGAAGAATGAGAAAGCCATTGGTTCAGGCAGAAAGGAAAGTGCAAAGTCCCTTAAGAAAGAGGTGGAAAATAACTTGATTATTCTAAAAATTGATAGAGCTAGTGGCACTGGTGTTTGACAAATGAGGGTATATGAAATGTACTTGGCAGGTAGATAATGGCTAGATCTTTCAAAGCTTAAAAAAATAAGAAGTTTTATTTTATTTTAAGCACCACAGAAGGGTTTTTAGTATCAGAAATTGATCACTGCCCTAACCAGTTTCACTCAATGGATAGAGTGTTGGCCTGCAGACTGAAAGATCCCAAGTTCAATTCTGGTCAAAGGCACATGCCTGAGTTGTAGCCTTGACCCCCAGTAGGGGGCCTGCACGAGGTAGCCGATCAATGATTCTCTCTCATCATTGATGTTTCTATTTCTCTCTCCCTCTGCCTCCCTCTCTAAAATCAATAAAAAAAAATTTTAATTGGTCATCAATGATGATTTAGGAAAATTACTCTGGTTCCCCTGTATAAAATGAACTGTGGGGAGTAAGAGCAATAGTAGGGTAGGTCTGAGGACAGATTGGAAGCTTGGACTTGGATTAAATTACACATTATATAAAATACATTTAGCATTTAGCAAATGTAGCACTATAATATTGTGAGGTTTTTCTATTGAACTATGGGATATATTAATTGTGTCTTCATCAATCATCTCTATATCTCCTTAGTCGGTCACCTATACCTCAATACATATTTTTTTAAATTTAATTCCATTCTTTCCAGGAATGCAGGAACCATGTAGTTCCTGTTGAATCTCCAGCAGCAAGACAGTGACTAACATATATTAAATGCTCAGTGAATAACTAATATAAGAAAGGGAGAGGTGAATAAGAGAAACCTACTTAATCTTTGGATAATCATTTTTCGATGAAATGTGTAGGGGGAAGTGATGAGGATGCTATATAAATACTGTAAATGTATAAAAACATTTCCTATTTCTCAGTTTGGTTTTAGTGCATGTCAGAGCATATTTCCCCAAAAATGCCGTGTGTGTGTGTGTGTGTGTGTGTGTGTGTGATTATTTGCCTTAAAACATGCAAAAATTTAAATGAGGATGTTCATATTGTTCCCCGACCCCAAGTTTATTAGGGATTTCTACATTCCAAACCCTTTCTGCAAATCTATTCACATCTCCATTCCAAGTCCATGAAAGCCACTGATAAATCAGTCATATTTATCTCTTGGCCTGCACTCAGTTTCTCAAAATGGTACACCAAGAAGCCACTGCCAATTAAATGTGTCAGAGAAGATGAAATGTAATTGCTATCCTGTGACAAATTGTCTTTATCCTTTTCTACAGGAGCCTAGATTCAGAAATCTGAGTGTAAACTGGTTGGCTCTATAGGAAAAAGGTTCAAGCTACCAATAGAATTCCATCTCCATAAAGATAATTCATGCATTCTCAGAGCACCATCGATATACTTAGTTTTGTGCCTGTTAGATTTAGAAGTAAAATAAAAGTTATATAACAAGATTCCTAATCTTGACCTGCTTAGAACTTCCTATACTTTTTTTCTATATGTATACTGAGGGTTTCCTAATTTGAAATCATAATGTGTTTTTTTAAAATATGAAAGTGGTTTCTTAATGCATTTAGCTGTCTATGCAACAGATTTTATACTCTGAAACCTTGACAGAGGGAAGTCTGGTCAAAGAACGAAGAGAAATATTTAATGCCACACTCTGCAATTATACTTTTGGTATCTGGTTGACCTGACTTCCCAGGCTGAGATATCATTGATACTTAACCCAAGTAAGATGATCCAAAGCCCTGCTCCCTCATAACTTCATTTGAGCAAACATTCCCTACAGCAGACAGGCAGAAAATAGAGTCATGTTGAAGTTACCTTGGGGGTTGCTGACTGCAGAGCCTACAATTTTAAAACAGAAGCTTTCTATTCTTTTCTGGATACTTTTGTTTATTTTCTCTGTACACCTTTTCCTAATATCCCTTAAGTCTAATTGGTTCAGGAACCTGTGGTAATTATGCTCTGATTATGTTTACAGGTAATAAGCAAAAGATACTCGCAACTAGATGGATCTGAAATAGTGCTGCTGACGGATGGGGAGGATAGCTCTGCAAAAAATTGTCTTGATAAAGTAAAAGAAAGCGGGGCCATTATTCACTTCATTGCTTTGGGACCATCTGCTGATCTTGCAGTCATAGAGATGAGCAATGTAACAGGTAAAATATGACCTATGTATTCTAGTCCTTTAATAGCAATGTGTAAGTGTAGAGACTGACAACTCAACTTCTCTTGAGTTCTGAAGGCACTGTGCCAGGAACTAGGGACCATAATTAAACCAGACCTGATCTCTGTGTTCAAGATGCTCAGAGTCCTGCTGGCTAGAGAGACAAATAAAACTACTAATCAGGTACATATTCAGATAACATTCCTCCACAACAGGGGGAATCTATAGAAGTCAAGCACTGTGTGAGCCGAAGAAGCCATTAATTCTCCCAGGGTTGTGTAAAATCTGAGAAAGAAGGCATGAGGGACAAAGTAACTTCTGAGCTGCGCCTTGAACAAAATGTTGAATTTCAATGGAGGAAAAAGGGATTAGAAAAGATGATCAGGTCATGAGTAAAGAAATCATGTTGGGATGACAATGCAAGGCACATGGAGGGATAGAAATCCATGAGAGGAGAGATTACTTTGGCTGCAGGTTGTAGGGGGCAGAGGGAATGGGATTCACAGAGGCTCAGTATGAATAGATGTTAACAAATAAGTTTTTAGATAAACATTTACATTGGTTGATGTTATCTTAGACACAGAGACAGCTGATGAAAATGGACTACATGTGCCTTCTTAAATATAGTAGAGAACACATAATTTACAACTTTATGGATACCAATTATTATATATTGAGTTGGCTTCTATTGTTACCAAATACACACTTGCTTTTTAAAAAATTCTTTATTGTTTAAAATATTTCATATGTTTTCTTTTTCCCCCATTAACCTCTCCCCAGCTGTTCTCACACCCCAGCACATGCCCTCACCCCTCTATTGTTTGTGTCCATGGGTCATGCTTATATGCATGCATACAACTCCTTCAGTTCCTCTCCCCCAACCCCATTCCCTCCTCCAACTTCTCTCTGAGGTTTGAGGGTCTGTTCGATGCTTCTATGACTCTGGATCAATTTTTGTTGATCAGTTTATGTTGTTCATTATATTCCACAAATTATTGAGATCATTTGATACTTATCTTTCACTGACTGCTTTATTTTGCTTAGCATAATACTTTCCAGGTCTGTCGATGCTCTTCCAAATGGTAAAAGTTCCTTCT